TGATCTGTAAATTCTTTCTTCAATTTTATTTTGGACAGTTTTTATTGTTATATTCATTTATGTTTGTAAATAATTTATTTTCAATTTGCAATCTATTAAAAAATAAAATTTAAAAAAACCAACCAGTGATTTGTGCAGTTTGCTTAGGTGTCCTTTACTTGGCTTCCTCCAGACCCATTCTCCCAAAGGACACCTATTTCAAGTGGAACAGAACCCTGTTTCAGCTGCATTCTACACTATTGCCACAGAGAAAACATATGCAAGTAATCATTTCTCTCTCTTTCTTATCCAAAGTCTGTGCTTTATGCCTTCCAGGGTGGCATAAATGCCAGTAAGAAATAACTTATGAAGTAGGTACAGGATCACACTTTGCAAGGCTAATGAAGGAGAAGACTGCAAGTACAAGCTCAGCCAATCAAGTTAGTGACTTGGTGTGATGCCTCTCAAAATAGAAAAATTAAGCTAGGTGTGGTGACACACATCTATAATCCCAGCACTCAGAAAGCTGGGGCAGGAGAATCACCCTGAGTTTGAGGCCAACCTAGGCTACATAGTGAACTCAAGACCATGTCAAGAGACATGGGGAGATCCAAAGTAAAACAAAACAACCCTCACACATATGTACTTACATATATACAGGCATACATACATACATACATACATACATACAGGGCTACCAATGTAGCTCGGTGTGAGGGCCTGGGTTCAATGCACTAATTTTGTCTAACAACAAGATAATTTTGGAATTAAACTACACTGTATCATTCAGCAAAGACCAGTTAGTAGGGCTGGGGAGATGGCTCAGTGGAATAAGTGCTTCCCTGGCAAGCACAAGGACCTGAGTTCAATCCCCGGTTCCACCAAAAAAAAAAAAGACCAGTTAGTAGAGTTTGCTCCCCTAAGAGTGCTTCAGAGTATGGGATGGAAACAGGCTAACAAAACACAGAGCATGTGACATTTATATGCTTAAAAAGCGAAACCAACCAACCAACCAAACAAACAAACCAAAGAAAAACCTCTTTCCCAACCTAGGGCCTTTGAGCTGTTCCTCTGGTCTAAAGCTTTATCCCTGAAACAGGGAACAAAAACAGACAAAATCTCTACATTATAGGACTTGCAGTCTAATATCAGAAAACCATTGCAATAGTTTAAATTTGGACAAGAACTACTTTCAGCAACAACTATAACAACAAAAAGACAAATATGACTTAATGGGAAGAGATTCAAATTTCAAGAGAGCTCTAGAGTATCCCTGAAGTGCTTGGCTGCTCCCAGAGGCTCCCTCTCCCCTCCCGTCCTAGCGTCTCTCAGGAGCGCGAGTCTAGTTTCCCACAGTGCAGTGCTGGGCCATGTGCACTGCTTGCATAATGCTATAGAAGAGCCCAGAAGCAAAACTCTAACCACGTATTCAGGGAAGACTTGCTTCTCTACAGCCCATGGGCCCAGCAGGCCTGTCAGCTGGCCAGCACCATCCAGAGTTCACCTTGGCAAGAGAGCAAATTGCTTCTCCTCAATGACAGCATGACTGATAGGTACAGCATTATACTGTTCTGACCTCCTGATCAGGTTGCCTGGGTAAGAGAGAATGAAGAGGAGTGAGTCCCATGTGACCATAAAACAACAGCCCAGAAAAGTAGCAAAAGACTCTTTCCTATTTCAGCATTTTTCTTCATTTCAGCATACCTGTAAAATTCATGTGCTCATTAATTTTTGTTTTGAAGAAAGAAAAAAACCAATAAAACGCACGCAGGATTTTAAAACAAGATGATAGGAAATTAACAATGGTTTCCTGATGAACTTGGTTGCTCTTGTCAGAGGAGGAGCTCAGGACCTCATTGTCACCGAGGACAGCTCATTTTGGAAAGCGCTGGTCCTCACTTTGAGCATTGCTTCCTGATTCCAGAGGGGAGGATGGTGTACTGCTCAGTCTTCTGCAGAAGCTTGTTGCATTGGCTTTCCTGATGAGAACTTGGCCTCTCTCAGCATTGGAGGAACTCAGTACCTCACTGTCGCTGAGGATGTCTGTGGTACTTTTAGGGGTAGCTCTGTTTCTTACATGGAGCATCACTTCCTGGCTCCAGTGCCTATCCCTCAGCCTGCTAGCACAGATCCTTCATCCCACTGGCATAGACTTTCTAGCTTCCACCACTAACCTTTGGACCTTCCCAGTGCAGATCCGTGAAGCAGGCCTGCATGAGACATTGTCATAAGACTAGGCCTTTAGCTGGATTCCTTGGTTTTTAGTGAGTGGACAGATTTATTGCATTCTTTGGATGATTCTATTGTATGATTCTTTGGATGACTACTATAAATAATCTTATATATACTCATTCCACTGGGTAGATGCCATGATCACGAAGGTCGTTTTTCCAGGGCTAGGCGATAACATTGCACTCTGGATGTGCTAACCCCTTCGATTTCTCCCCATGTGGCAAACTAGACTACATAATTTGTGGTAGTGAGGGACTGCTTTCATGCTCTCCCTTGTAATCTTGTTTTTTTTTTTTTTTGTGGAACCGGGGATTGAGCTCAGATCCTTGCGTTTGCCCGTCAAGCACTTATCCTACTGAGCCATCTCCCCAGCCCGATTCCCTTATAATCTTATAAAATATGTATTCTGTGTTGTATTGTTCCTCTTGAAAAACACCAAACCCCAACTTCCCAATGGTGGAAGCCTGTTAGAAAGTATCTCACCCCTCCCACAGACCCTGGAGTCATCGCACATTTTCCATTTCATAACTTTTCTTATATGCCCACTTTCACTTATCTCACAAGGCCCCCTGTCAACCTGTTTGTTCTGCTCATCAGATGAGACTTTTTATTTTTTAACATTCCTAGAAGCAAAATGCTAGGCTGGATTAGGCATTGCTTTAAGCCACAGCAACAAGTCTCTGTTTCTGCTACCGAAGCTTTTATCTAGGACCTTAGGCAATTTTCCCCCTTTTATTCAACTTGATTATCTATGTTTCCTCTCCCAAGAAAAGTTCTATTCCAACAAAGCAAAGATTAAAGGAAGTCTCTTATAACCTTTACCTTGAATTAGGACAAGATACTCATATCTGTGAAGCTTCAAAAATCCTGGGGATATTTTAAAAATTGTTTTATTAGTATGTGTTTGTACATAAGGTTTACACTCACTCTCACCAGCAATATGGGAGGGTTCACTGAAGCCATTACCAGCATCTCCTAGTCTTTGATTTCTTGACAATTGCCATTCTTTCTGATGTAAGATGGACTCTCTGTATTGTTTCAGTTTGAATTTCTCTAACAGCCAATGATATTGAACATGTTTTCATGCGAGGATTTGGAGCTATGCTGCCTCCCTCAAATCAAGGACTTACTAGAAGCCAGTAGAAAAATCTAGACCAGATCCTACCGTGCCACTCACAGACAGAGCATGGCCTGGCTGACATCTTACTCTCTGACTGCTGGCCTCAGAACTGTGAGAAGATGAATTTCTATTGTGAAGGTATTTGGTTTTCAGTACCTTGTTAGAGCCTCTGTAGCAAACTAAAACAGTTTCCTATGATGAAATGGAGAGGTGAACTAAGATTACTTTTATTCATTAGAAAGTTGAGGTCTGCAAAACAGTGACAGAGTTTGACCTAAATCTGTTTGTTTAAGCAGTGTGCTCTCCTGTGCACAATGGATGGTGATGCCCTACCCTGTTTCTAGATGGAGGACAGGTGAAGTCAGAATTCCAGAGGCTAGCGTTTCCCCTGCCTTCTCCTTCCTTATCCTCCCCCTGTATACTTCTTCCCCCTACTTTAAACTTTTGTCTCTTACTGCATTAATTGGCAAGATTGCAACTTAATGTTTTTCTAAAAGACAAATATTGATTGGTAGAAAAAGAACTTAAAAACTGGGAGGCAGGATTCACTTTGGCATCTTAATTCCTCTCTTCTGCCCTCTGTCTTTTTGTTGCCTGTCTGGCCAGATCAGAGTTCAGCAGAACTCATCTGCCAGGTCAGAGGAAGCCAAGCATCCTGGGGAGAGCAGCCCCCCTAAGCACTCAAGATGCGTGAGCTATAATCTCTAAGGGAGTCTCATGTTGGCTAGACACTGCCGTGCACAACTGCTTTGCATTTGAAATTCATACACTGACATCTTCATCACTGCCCAAGACTCATACATTGACATTCCCACTCTTTCTCTAAAACTTTACCAATAACTTCAAAAGAAGCTTTCATTTTTCATGAAGACCAGGTTGTAGAAGAGAAGGGAAAAGGAAGCATGCATGAGAATTCCATGCTACCCTTTCTTCACCCTGGGTTTGATCAATCCACGGATCAATCACACAGGAAGAAAAAATAGAAATAATTCTCTGTTCTCAAAAGCAACACACTAATCCAGATACACAAGAATAAATGCCTTATTATACTATGGTAGGTAGTCCTTAGCAGGCAGATGTAGAGAGGTGGAAAGTAGAAGGGACATTCTGAAAGGCTGAGGGGAGGAGGGACACAGAGTCACCGCTTAAAAGATACCGTTTTGGTTTGAGCTGATGGAAAAAGTTCTCGAGATGGAAAGTAGAGATGACTGTAAAACACTGTGAATGGCCTTACCCTTCCGAAATTGTTCCCTTGAAGATACTTTGCATTGTACTACAATGAAAAAGAAAATAAAATCCCAGAGGGAAGCTAGAATTCTTGCTGCGGCCCCAAGATAATTACTGTTCTCTCTGGGGTACTATGATTCGTACTTTGGGTGATTAGGTTAGATGTTTTGGTTGATTCTTTCACTGGCTGTTTTAGGATGCAGTCCTCGTTTCTTCAAGAAGGAGAATTCTAGCCTTAAACCCAGCTTCCTCCCAACAGTGTCAATGTGGTCCAAGGATTTTATTTTGTTGGATTCCAGAGCCTGTCTTTTCAATTCTTTCCCTAGAGAAAGTGAGACTCCTGGTGAGGGAGGAGTGAACTCTGAGCTGGAATCTCAGAGCTCTCGCTGCTGCCATGTGCCTCGGAGCTCTGCATTACCTTTGCGGCTCTCTGGCTCTCTGGGCTCTGTGGCTCCCCTTCCCCGCTTCCCAGTCGCGCGTTGCTCAGGCTGTTCGAGGAGGTATGAAGACTGGGTTGCCGGCTGATCTTACAGAATGCAAAGCCATAGGCAACCTGCAGGGGGAGCCCGAGAGCTAACCCTATTGGCTACGTCCCTCTGCCAAGCTGGCGAGAGACTGAACCAGGTGGCCGAGGACAGGGAACTCCGTTAAAACGTTGGAGCAATTATAATTATACATTCATTTGTGAGAACATAAAAGTAGGAGAAATAACTCAAAGGACCAGGAGATTAAAGAGAAACCCGCAAATTTGGTGGAGATAGGGTGACTGTGAAGGTCTAAACGTTAGAAGGTAAGAGAAGAAACAAAACTTGGAGAGAAAAAGGAGCTTTCCCTTAACATTAATATTGGGCTGTCTGAAAAAGGAAGGAGGGAAGGCAAGGAAGAAGAGAGAAGAAAGGAGGGGGAGGGGAGCGAAGGTGATTGTAGACTTCAGAGGGTGTCTGATTTAGAATCAAGAAGTGGATATGAGGATTAGTAAAGAAGCATTAGTGAGCAGAGGATGCCAGCTGGGCTGGTAATGAAATTCTGAGCAAGAGATCATTTAGTGTTTGGTTATTGTGTTTAATGGTATCAAGCCAAAGACAGTAATAAGACTTTATTTATAATTACCTGTCTTTGCATAGCTTGTTCTCTAGGTAGTGTAGAGCTTCTGTCAGGCTGAGCAGGTGTTGTTTTGGGGACCTTTGTGGACATAGTAAAGAGGAAGGGCTCTGAATTTCTGGAACGCAGGTAGAATCCTTGTCCACAGGAAGTGAGTTTCTTTGCCCACTTCCTTTGTACCCTGCTAAGCCATGGAAAGTTACCACTGAGTTTTTGTGGGTTTTTTTTTTTTCCTCTCCAGTCGGAACTTGTTTTGAGTAACTGAGAAAACGGATCTAGTCACCTCTCACTGTAACGTATATCAAACCAAGAGACCCCACACCCCTCAGGAGGAATACATGTGAAGACGTGGATCATTATTGGGCTCCTCTCTTGTTCCCTTCCCTTTCAAAAGATGTAAATTTTGGCATGTTTCAAAGACGCGAAAGGTAGTTGCCCAACTGTGGTAGGCAAGGTATCTCTAGACAGGAAAAGGAAATTCATTCAATAGGTTAATGAGCCCAGAGATGAAGAGGCTAACCGAAGACACAGAACTGACAGGAGTACAGAGTTAGAGTAGAGAAGATGGTCTGAGAATCTCTGAGACTCTAAGTATTGAACTCAGTAGATAATAAATTTAACTGCTTGTGTATAACAGTAATAATAATAATTACAAATGCAGATTAACTTACATGATATAGTGACCAGATGAGGTAGCTATATTGTCATTTCCATTTTACAAACGTGAGCGAATAAAGCACAAAAAGTTTCAAAGTACTGTATAACCTTCTTTTTTTGGTACCATGAATCAAACTCAGGAACTTGTGCTTGCTAGACAGGTGTTTGTGCCACTGAACTATGTTCCCGGCCCACTGTATAACCTTAAGAAAAAAAATGGAAGCTGAAAAAGAGCAGGGATTTTGGTATTGATTGATTGATTGCAACAGGGGCTCACTATGTAGATCAGGCTGGCCTCAAACTTGCAGCAATCCTCCTGCCTCAGCCTCCCATGTGCTGGGATTACAGGTGCGAGCGACCACCTTGGCTTTTTTTTTTTTTAAACAATTCATTGCTGTTTTTCCACTTCCCAGCACACATTCAATAATTATTTGAGTTTTTGTTTTGTTTTGTCATTTTTTGAGACAGGCTTTCAATACGTAGCCCGGACTGGCCTTGAAATCCAGCAACCCTCCTGCATCAGCCTACAGTACTGGGATTATAGGCATGTGTCATCACTCCTGGCTTCAATAATTGTTTATTGAATTATCAGTTAACAGATCCAAAATCATGCAGATGGCATAGAAAGGCTGGGATGGGAATGGAGTCTGGAGTACTAGAAGTCCATGCTCTGCGGGACACTATTACAGGAGGTGAATGTGTTCGGCGCTCAGCCCATGTTACATATGCGTGGTGAGACTTGCCCTTGCTCTCAAAGCTGAATAGCTGATTAAATACTTCCTACCTCACTTTATGAGGCAAACATTCCATGATTCCAAAAGAAACACATTATAAAAAGGGAAAATGTAAATCAATGTCTCTTATGAACATAGATGCAAAAATCCGTAACAAAATATTAGCTAACTGAATCCAACACTGAATGAAGAGAATTATAAAACGTGATCAAATGGGTTTATTGGGTACGTTAAGCTGGTTAAATATTTAAAAATCAGTTTAATTCACCACATCAATAAGCTAAAGAAGGTTTTTATTTTTTTTCAGTACTGGGGATTGAACTCAGGACCCTGCGCTTGCCAGGCAAGTGCTTATTCTACTGAACTATCTATCTCCCTGGCCCCAAAGAAAAAATCTTATAAGCTTATCAGTTGATATAGAAAAAGCATTTACAAAA